GTTACCCTTATCATTAAACTATATATAAACTATATATTTGTGTTATAACATTTATGAAAAAAAAAAACATTCTAATTAAATAAAGTTATTAAAGTTAACATACTATTGCAATACAGTGCTGACCAAAGTGATCTACTGATTTCATTTGTTCATCTATTGCCAACTATACAGCTGACCTCGTATTTAAATTTGCGTTTGTTTTTTGTAAAAAAAAAAATTTTTTTTTTAAATATGTGTTATATGTACGAGCGATTCGTGACAGAAAAGAATTTTGAAAATATTTTGAGCGTGACAGTGATACATGTGACAATGGTGTTTTTCGGGTACGATATTTGGGAGTACGAAATGTAATCTTGACAGTAAGATTAACATTTCGTTGTAAGTACGGACAATCTATTCTACTATTAATTATGTCATACAGTAATCCCACACGCCGCTGCTCCAAAGATAGCAAATTATATTCGGTATAGTTATCTTTGTAACTTTTATGAGACTTCCGAGAGCGAAAGTTTAAGTGCTTAGCAAACATTTTTTTAATTCGCTCCAGGCGATTTATATATATCAAGTATTGTGGTGACCATAAAGGGCTAACATATTCTAGAACACTCCTGACATATGCTAAATGGTTTTAATTGCTGAGATTTGAGTTAAAATTAATAACATACAAGCCATATTAAGCTAATAGCTCGGTCGCGTAGTGAATAAGCGCCGCAGCCCGCGATTGTTGTTGTTAAGCAACTTCCGCAAAAGTCGGTCACAGGATGGGTGACCACAAAATTGTAACCTCGAACCACTCCGTGCTTCGGAAGGCACGTCAAGCCGTTAGTCCCGGCTACATTTGCAGTCGTTAATACCCTCCAATCCGCATTGGGTCAGCGTGGAGGGCCAAGACCCATCCTCTTTAACCAATCCATAAGGAAGGCCTGAGCCCCTGCAGTGGGGAAATAAAAGGCATGATGATGAAGTAATATTAAGGCAATACCTATCGATACTGATATTGTTCAAAAAACAATTACATTTCTTTGGTCACTAACTGAGCTGAGAAAATAAAGTAACTGGTTGTATTATGGCTCAAAAAAACTCTCATTGAAGACGGGGAGATATTCTATGGAACATTTGTAAACTCGGTTTTGTAAATGTTATAAGCCTATTTATTTTATTCTTTTTGGGGAACTTACAGCATTATTTACAATAAATACTTAAGGACTAATAACAGGCTTCTGCAAATATGCAGAAAATAACATCTGTATGCAGATACAACTATGCACTGCAATCACAATATGAGACATGCTCAGCGATGAATTCAACACACAATCGTACCTGTGAGGTTCTTAATATGTCCTGCCGTGCTATTGGAAAGATCGATTCGGCTATATCATTCAACTCTGTATTCAGTTCGTTGGTCAAATTATTAATTCTTATTAATATGCTGTTACTCCTAAATTCCATACGTGCAAAAGGAGTGACAAGCAAATATTTTTCAGACGAAGATTTAAGTTCGGGATTTTGATCTGAAGTTTGCTCAAGAATCAAGAGATTTAAAAAGAAATTAAATTCTACAAAGCCTTCACAGTGCGGGAATCCGAATCACTCTTCATAAGATATTCTAAGTCTCCTCACCTGGTGTGGATAAAAAGAATGAATTCGATAATTACCTCTACGATGTTGCCCCTGTTGAGAACCACAATGAGATCAGCGTTCATCACAGTGGATAGTCTATGAGCTATCACTAGCACTGTACGACCTTTGGCAGCTACCTCTAATGCTGTCTGGACCACTTTCTCACTAGCGGAATCTAACGCGCTGTTAAAAAGGCAAATTCACTGGATCAGATTTCATTTTCATTGGTCAATAGAACGCGAAGCCCCAATTAATAAAGATCAAAGACAATCAACTGTCAATTGTTCTATGGTAAACTGGGTCGTATTCTAACTCATTTCGTATCTCGGGTTCAACTCCAGGTCCGGTAAATATAGAAAATTAACTTTTCTATAGTGTCTCGGGTCTAAGTATCATGGTACTTCGTTGTTTCTAATCTTAATAACGCAAGTACTAGAAGCAACTCAATTGGCGAGCTGAGCGATCTATTTGAGTAAAATAAAATAAAAATAATTTACAATAATCTCCTGCACTTTGCATGCGGGTCAATAATATACTGAACTATTACAGATATCTATAAATTAATACGTGAAGTTTGCTTCAGTTTTGGACTCCTTTTTACGAAAATTGCGAGGACGGAGGAGTATGAAATTTGGCACACTTATAGTTTATATGTAGGAGAAGTGCAAAAGGCTGATATTTTTCAATAATAATGCTTATAAAGTACATTAAATCGATAAATAAACATTAAACACACTACTATGCATTTGACACACACAAACAAGTATTTGCTACACGCATACATGTACTCTGTGGTCAAATTGTTTCTTTTGACATAGTTTGTTTGTTTCTTTTGAATATTGGCTTCGCACGGTTTGTGCTTACCTAGTAGCTTCATCCAGTATAATGATAGGGGGGTTCTTCAACACGGCTCTAGCTATTGCTATCCTTTGCTTCTGTCCTCCACTTAACGCCATCCCTCTCTCTCCCACCATAGTTTCGTAACCATCAGGGAAACCAGTTATAAACTCGTGCGCATTTGCTGTTTTCGCCGCGTTTATAACCTAGAAATAAGATAAACTACTAGTTAGTAGGTAGATTACAGTAGCCAGGGGTAAATAAATAAACCAAATGTATTCTAAAATAATTTAATTAAAAAATGTAAACGTCGTCATATATTTTTTTGCATTCTGAATGTGTCCAATAGTATTGTTTTATTAAAAAGACTATACTCTTAATTAAAAAGACAATCAACACCTTAGTCTTATGTGAATACGGAACCAGCAAAGGGTTCGAAACGTCAATAAAACTATATACAAACGCTATGAAACCGTTTGAAAGTTGATTCATTTATGGATAGTGCGCGTGAAAATATAAGAAATCAATATTGAAGAAATATTAATCTCATATTAAACTAATTGTCAAATTGTCAAACACAAATTTCTCCTCCTTGGTTGGGAATTCCAAATTCAAAGGGTTTAGCCGGATACGTATGACGAGTCGGCCCCCAAATGGGAATCGATATTGAAACTTATGTTTTAATATAGACTTGATGTTCAAACACGATTTATGTACTTTTCGCGACCGACTTCCGCTTTGACCTTGAGATAGAGAGCAAAATATCCGTATGCTTGACTATTACTGAATGTGATATATCTCTGAAGCTAATTAAGATAAAGAAGTGAAACTAACGCGAGGTGTTAGGTTACATTACAGAGTATATCACATATATTTTTTTATAATTTTTAGAATAAAAAATTACATTTAAAAAATAAAAATTAAATAAAACATGTTTTTTTTTCTGAGTTCTCTGTGACTTACAATCACGAAATTAATATATGTTATGCTCCTTTGTGTGCTCTATCACCCATAAAAATTGCGTGAAAAAAAAGTTGGTGTAACACAACGAAAAAAAATTATATGTGATTCGCGCCTTGTAGTGTGAGTGTATAAACAAACAAGTTCGAACTTGTTATCGAGCTGTTTACTGCATCGTTTGTTTAGCTAAAGTAGTAGTCATTTGTATTACACAAGAAGGCAGTTTGGGACTCAAATTCTGTCATAGGTATTTTGTATCAGCATTTTTAAATTATTAACTATCGAACCAAATCATAATTAAGTAATAATGTCGAGAAAGTGTAAAAATTGTAACAAGTACCTGTGTAAGGTTCCTGGTTATAAAAAAATTATGAAGAATGAAGAAGAAGCTAAAGTGTTTAGTGACTGTTTGAATAAAATCGTAATAGTTAATGATATTTTTTGTAAGAAGTGTTGACTTATCCCATATATTAACAAAAAAGCTTCTACTTCTAAATGTGCAGCATTTAACTTGGCCGAAATAATGGACGATCAAAATAATCTCTCAGTACAATATGTGAAATCAGCACCTAATATCATCAAAGCAGAAGTAAAATCAAGACATATAAATAGAAAAGTCTATCGAATTTACATTCACTATATTTCCGAAGGTACAATAGTATTCTTCGTTATTGCTGTGATTGCCCCAATGGCAAACGTACAGTGGGATGCTGTTCTCATGTAGCAGCTATTATTTATTATCTATCATATGGATGATATTTGTCCAAAATCGTACGTCCTGCTGAGGTCCTAACTAAGTTATTTGCGACTCAAAGTGTTCCGATTGTAATTAATTACAACAGTGACGATGATTAATATTTTGTTTCTTGTATTTTGATAGACACGAAAAAGTAATAATAATAAGTATTGAACACTGGCTGTTATTTTTTCATTTCTTTTTTAACTATTATCCCATCTCTTAAGACTAGTTACTTATGTTTTAAAACAAGCTGATGTGAAATTTCGAAAAAAAAAAACAATGATGTAATGTGAAAACCTTATAATACAGGGGTATACCATAAGACAGAAATCACATATAATTTTTTTTCGTTGTGTTGCACCAACTTTTTTTTCACGCAATTTTTATGGGTAATAGAGCACACAAAGGAGCATAACATATATTAATTTCGTGATTGTAAGTCACAGAGAACTCAGAAAAAAAAACATGTTTTTTTTTATTTTTATTTTTTTAATGTAATTTTTTATTCTAAAAATTATAAAAAAATATATGTGATATACTCTGTAATGTAACCTAACACCTCGCGTTAGTTTCACTTCTTTATCTTAATTAGCTTTAGAGATATATCACATTCAGTAATAGTCAAGCATACGGATATTTTGCTCTCTATCTCAAGGTCAAAGCGGAAGTCGGTCGCGAAAAGTACATAAATCGTGTTTGAACATCAAGTCGATATTAAAACATAAGTTTCAATATCGATTCCCATTTGGGGGCCGACTCGTCATACGTATCCGGCTAAACCCTTTATACACGTGTATTTGTGTTTCGTTTGGCGGCATTCATTTGTTTTTTTTTTCTTTTGTTTGACCTATTTACGTCACCCAGTATAAAAAATGGAAAACTTGAAATATCGTGTTATTTACGAGTACGAGTTCCACCGTGGTACCAGTGCTGCGGAAACGGCTCGAAGGGTTAATGATGTGTATGGTGGTTGTGTCGCAAAAGAAAACACAGTGCGTTTTTGGTTCCAACGTTATAGTTCTGGAAATTTCGATCTGCAGAACAAGCGGACGGGCGGAGAAAGTTAATAATGAAGAATTGAAGGCTATTATGGAAGCGGATCGCAAATCACGTCCGAGTTAGCTGCAGGCTGCGGTTTTAGTGATAAAACTATTTTCATCCACTTGAAGCAAATTGGAAAGATTAAAAAGCTTGAAAGATGGGTACCTCATTGAGTGAAGCATACCGGCAAACGCGCTTCGACTGCTGCGTTACATTACTTAACCGGCACAATAATGAAGGGTTTTTAAATCGAATCATTACCTGTGATGAAAAGTGGATTCTCTACGATAATCGGAAGCGCTCATCGCAATGGTTGGACCCTGGTATGCCAGCCAAATCCTGCTCCAAGCGAAAATGACCCCAAAAAGTTACATGTAAGCGTTTGGTGAACTAGTGCCGGTGTCGTACATTACAGTTTTCTCAAATCTGGCCACATGATTACGGCAGACGTCTATTATCAGCACTATCCAGCTATATAATATAGCATGGTTTGCACCATCCTGGAAAACTAGCTGTTAAACAACCGAGGCTGGTCAATTGCTATACGTCACTGCTAATTCTCAACAACGCTACTAAAATCAGGATTACTTTTTGCTCATCTCTGCTTTCTTATAAAATACTCAATTGTTTTGTAATATTAATTTTGTTATTAAGTCTCACCTGTTAAAAAGTGTTTGAGAAAGAGGACAACTATGCCGTCTGTTTACATCTGTCTATTAACAATCTATGGCAGGAGATATTGTATTAAAAAGAACCGGCAAGAAACTCAGAAAGGCAACTTTTCTCTCCCGGTTTTATTTTATACAGTCATTACACTTCAATATTTATTCATTAAATGAAATACATATTTTTATTCATTCATTCAAATAGTCCTGCGAAAGCAATCAGTCACGTGACATTTCCAACCGTGCCGTCACATCTCAAAAAATGTGAGTACTGATTGCACTCGCAACAAACTCGTGACGTTTAGTATATTGAAATGTGACGTCACACGATGCTGCGCCATGGCCGCTCGGTTTTCGGTTCATGTAATCTGCAGATAAATTTGAATCAATAAATTATAAAACTACTTAATTTAATGTTTCATAATTATAAGTTTACCTCATCATCTGTGGCTTCTGGTTTCCCGTATCTTATATTCTCCCTGACGCTGGTGGCAAACAAAACGGGCTCCTGACTAATCAGCCCCAGGGCTCTGCCCCTCAGCCATTTACAATCGAACTCGCGAACGTCCACACCGTCTATCGTCACTTGACCGTCACTGACGTCATAAAACCTTAAAGCAAAAAATATTACCAACTACTTGACCGGCGTATTTATAGTTTTACTTTCAGTGTTTAAATCAACCCGTTCACCAGTAGTCCATTTATTTCCGAAATTAATCTGAACTATACTTGGCCATCTAACCATCGTCGAATGCCGTATTGAACGCAGTTTATGAGGGCCTATTCTATTTCTCCAAAAGCGGAAATTCGTCTGTTTTCGAAATGTTAATACGACTCCACTCCACTTCCAGAATTATAACATCCTGATAGCTCACACATAGCATGTATGAATAACCAAAAATTAAGATATAAAATAACTACTTGGTAAGGACTACTAAACAAAGGAAAAAGAGGCAGATCTAAACAAAGATGGATTGACGAAATAATCGGCATAGCCGGTAAAAGGCTGGATCAAGGCAGAAAGACAGAAAAACTAGAGTAAAATGGAGGAGGCTTTTACTCGCTGAGGGGTCCTTAATAATAATAATCCTTTTAACTGACATATGTACGAAAATAATAATTTATTTTAATTTATTGATATTTTTATTTTATATTAAGGAATAATAATAATAATACAACTCCAAAGAAAACCATTCCTCGGTAAATGAGGAAGTATTAAAAAACATTAGTTCCTGAAATGAAACTAGATGTCGCTATGGTACTTTCTTGATTTCTCTATAGCAATAAAAAAACCATTAGTTCCCGAAGTCAAACTAGATGTCGCAACGGTACTTTCTTGATTTCTCCATGATCTTTCAAGTATATATGAAAATTTAATTACTTTCAAGTATAAAAGTAATTAAATTTTAAAAACTTAATAAACAACTCATATTCTATTTGTAATTTTTCGTATTTGTTGATATCTAAGTTTCGAACTTTGCAAATTTAATTTTTTTAATATCTTAGATAAAAGGAACGGAAATGACTACCTTTGGTCCATTCGTGTCCTGCTAAAATCAACTTTAAGTAGAGTCGCCATCTAGTGAGATTCTTTTTAGTGCTTTCTTTTTTCTTAAAATACTTCCTCATTATAAAAGAACGGAAATAGGATCTGACTGCCTGTGATGCACAGACAATCTTCAAAAATTATAAAAACCTTTGGAAATTTTCCGTACTTTCTTTCGAGGTCAAATAGATGTCGGGTATAATGCGTTTGTTCCTGCTCTTACCTCTCCAACAGCGCTGCGATAGTTGATTTACCATTTCCCGATGTTCCCACTATAGCAACAGTCTTCGCCGCCGGAATTTTTAAATTAAAATGTTTTAGAACAATCTGGAAAACAGTGATATCAGTTTATTTTTAAATGTAACTTACTCACCAACTAATTCATCACCAACTCTCAGAAACTATACGTGATAGGAGTTTAAAATTTTACATGGGACCTAACGGGTTGTTTTTGGTCTTCTTTTATTATGCTTATTTTGAGTCTCCTAGTCTCCTAGGCTATGGCCTAGTCTTGAGACTCCTATTCTCAAATTAAGCATAGGAGTTCTTTTTCGTATTCTGAATTAACATAAGAAGACTACATTATAGTATTCTTATTATCCTACGAAACAAATCCATAGTTGATAATGAAAATCTAGTTAAAAATGAATAAAAAAAAAATCTTTTTCCTAAAACTCACCGCTTCTGGTCTGGTTGGATAAGCGAATGTGACATCTTTGAATTCTATGTCTCCACGAAATTCGTGATATTTGATGGTCTTATTTCCCAACGTATCCATCTTCGGCGTCTTATTTATGTACTGAAATACAACAAAAAAATACTTGAAAAAATAATATCTTTTATAATGAAGGTTGTGATCTTCAGTCTTCGCCGTTGATCAGATAATAACATTTAATAATAACCACATGTTAAGGATACAGAGTGACTTGCTAGTTAGTTTCAAGGTGTCGCCATCTCTGAGGTACAGGGTTCAATTCTTAATTGGATTTTTTTCTATATTGTGTATATTTTCAATGTTTCTTGAGATTAGCATATACAAGAGCTTCAGCTATTTTAATTGAGATCTAAGCATATTGATTAACTTGTATTTATTTAAGTGACAAATTAAGTAGTTACCTAGTTAAAAATGGTAAGGATTCAGTTCACACTTGGTGAATTTTTAATATTACAGTAAGATACAACTGATGTCTCACTGATGTACCAACGCAAATTTCAACCAATCAGAATGGTCCAACTATCGCGTTATAGAGCGATCCAGGAGCACGGACTCTTAATGCATTGTATTTTACACCTTACGAGTTTTTGAAACATGGCTCATTATTAACACCTATGTACACACGGCTGCGCTTCAGGCTAGAGATGGGATTTTGCCCAGAAGAAAAAATCCAAAAGTGAGAAGAACAAAGCCCAAAAAATTAACTATAAAATTAGCAATCGGAAATATATTTGGGATTTTTCGTTTAATACAAATTTAAATGTGAAAATATATATAATTTATACTTCTTATCGCTATAAAAACAATTTGAATAATTCATAAGAATAAGACGGCCGCAAAGAAGAAACAGACATTTTTGGTCAAATCCACTTTTTGCGTAAAACGCTTTAGAATACTCTATTCTATCACGTGATTTTTTTTTAATGCCTGAAATAATCACTTTTGAGCTTTGCTCGCATACACAAAGATAACTCCAATCCACAAAGCAACGATGTATACATGGACATTTGTAATAGTCCATATGTGCTTCAGTCAAAAAAAAAAGTTAACAGTCACGCTCACCTCGAAAACTCGACCGCCTGCACTTATCCCTTTCACAACGGAGCCGAACAACAAAGACAGCTGCGCCACTGATCTCTGGACTGTCTGAGCGTTGACCAGGAACGCCATGACGTCGCCCGCGGACATGTGACCCGTCGACATCAGGTGACCGCCGAGGAACATAGTGCTCAACACCATACTACAACAATGATGAATCACTTTCTAATTCAAAATGTCATCGTTTACAGAATGAGACACAAAAAAAACAAGAATCGAGATAAACGCCCATTTCGTGTCCTCTCCAGTGAAAATTGGATATGTGACGCAGTTATAACAATAAACTATGAAATATGTTGGAAATGGTGATTTGAATTAATAAGATAATAATTATACTTTATTACACTGAAAACAAACATATAAGGAAAGATATATGCATGCAATGCAACGCAACTATATTAACTAAGGAAAAATACTGCGTTTTATTTACTGGGTAAAAATAATTTATAACAATGTAGCATTTTTTTAAATTTTAAAATAAATTGTAAGTATATTTTATTTTTGCAACATTAACTCGTGATTTATAATGAGGAAGTATTTAAAAAAAGCACTAAAAAAGCACCTCACTAGATGGCGACTCTAGCAAATTTGATTTTTTCAGGAAACAAATGGACCAAAGATAGTTCCGTTCCTTTTTACTAACATATTAAAATACTGAAATTTGCAAAGTTCGAAACTTGGATATAATATAGATAATAATAATAATACTTTATTATCTCTTCACAATTTTACAATAAATGCCTCCTTTTGAGTACATATAATAACTGTATCAGGAGACCACCGATCTCCCAGTCGTTATATGGAAATATACTTAGGGGGCGTCCATAAATTACGTGAGGTGTTTTTTTAAATTTTCTGTCCCTCCCTCCCCCTCTGATGAGATATCGTGAGATTTTATTCAACCCCCTCCCCCATCCCCCAATCTCACGTGAGATTTTTCAAAATGCAATTTGATGAGTACTTGCGAGTATTTGCCTTGTTGTAGTATCGAGTACTCAGTATCAAGTATCGCTTTTGAAAGTATCGATACCTACTCGGTATCGAAAGTATCGTTCGAGCCCTACAAATATGGTGGTTTGACATTCAGTCGATGTATAGCGTCGAAATATGAATGAAATTATTTTCTTTCGAACGAATTAGTGAATGATCTTAATCGTATAGGATTACGCTTAAGATTAAATCTTAAGCATGTACAATCTAGATTAAATGGACCAAAATAGTATTGTTTTTGTTTCAATCAGAAAAAAAATTGCGTGATATTTGCCGAGACCCCCCCCCCCCTCTCTCCAACGTAAGATTAGATGAGATTTGCCTCGACCCCCTCCCCCCCTTAAACATCTCACGTAATTTATGGACGCCCCCTTATAAATGTTATGACAAAGCATGGAAAGAAAGAGACAATAGCATTATTGATTCAATAAGGAAAACATTATTAATCTTACCGTTTAATGCCCACCCTAAGTGCGTGTGCATTTGTCAGTGTGTTATGTATATGTGTGAGTGCGAGTGACAGTTTTTATTTTTTAATATTTCCTCACTACAAAAACTGAAATGGCTTAATAAACGTTTTGTTTATTAAAATGTGACGTCATGCCCCGTCATGGCCTACATTGCAAGTGTAACTATTACTCGTGTTTAGTGAAATTTAACGTATTATATAAAACATCAATGGTAAAAAAATGTATTACACCTACCCATTTAAGAAGAGGTTAGTGCCGGCCTGAAAGAGTCCCACTCCAAGCCCGAGTTCCATACTGAGATCCGCGGCAGCTTCGCATTCGGCCGCGAACATTCCCGCCTCATTCTGTTCGCCAGCGAATGCTCTTACCGTGCGCATGTTCGCTATAGCTTCTTCTGCCACTAGTGTTGCCTTTTCTATCTGCAACATAACACGATACATCAACTAATTTTAAATCTCATGTATCAGAGTAAACGCGCCGAAAGTGGCGAAAGAAATGAATGATAAAGAAATTATAGTCACGAATGATGTAACTTTCCGTAGATGTAAAGATTTTTTTAAATTGATCAAGTATTTTTCGGCAAAAAACAATCAAAACTTTCCTCTTTATAATATTAGTGTAAATAAATTAACCTTCGCTCACATGTATATGCTAACTCATCTAATGTTATCTGTCACTTATTTGCAACATATTAATAAAAGTCATATCGTCATCCTCCTTTGGCTATGTTAGATATGCGATCACAAGTCACAGTATGTTTCTTACGAGAGTATTACGATTTTCATCAACATCAATCTACAGTAAATTTAAAGGCATAGTTCAATCTACATATCATAAAATTAAAACATCAGTATAACTTTTTACAGACTTTTTTGGAAATTTTTAAGTTTTTCATTTTACCTGAGCTTGAGCCTCTCTTGAAAGCTTCCTTAGCAAAGAACCTATAAATGTTGCTCCTATAACTACAGATGGGACGCACACCATCGTCAGTCCAGTCAAATGAGGTGATATAACTAGTAGACTGACAGCTGACCCGACCACCTGGAATTAAGTTTATTTTTTTAGAACACAAACCACAGTCTATGGAAACCTTTAACTGGTTCTAAGTATCTTTTTGGAAGTCTCTTAGTCTATGATTTATTAAATTGGAAGGTATTGATAACTTTAAGATTCACATAATGTGATGTTTTTCAAACTAGTCAATCAAATATGCATCTTAATAAATGAAGTAGTTTAGTTAAATATACAAAGTAAACTTAAGTACCTGAGTCAAAGCCCTTAAGCCACCAGAAATAGTTTGTTTGAAGGAGCTCTTAAAGTCTTGAACATCAACAGTTAACCTGCAAAACCAATTATTTTTTGTCACAAGCTGGACCTGGCGAACTTCGCACCTCCATATACCCATTTTTTTAAATGTTCTTATATGCAGACTTTGTCCTGACAATATGGAACAATAAAAAAGGATCATTCATTCAACTTTGAGGGTAGAGTTTCAAACCCATTGACGAAATATAGCACTTTGTGCCCATAGTGGTAACCTGATTTGCTATTGTAATTATATGTATCAATAAGTGAACCATAAATTAAAATAAACAAGAAAGTTATTGCAATCTTCTACCTGTTTACAAGTTCCCCTGTCCTCTCTCGGTCGAAAAATTCCATATCCTGATTTAATACAGACACAAAAAGATCTTGCTTCATCTGTACAGCTACTTTCTCTCCTACTTGTGACAACAAGTGTATATAAATAAACGTAAATGCAGCCTAAAATTATAAAAATACACATATTTAAAAAACAATACAGAAAAGTTTAAGACCACATTTTAATTGTCTTTTAAGAAGTCATATGATGAAATATTCTTACCTGTCCAATATACAGAGATATCAATTTTAGAGCTGGTAACTTAATTTCATCAATAAAATCAGCACTAGGATTTGTTTTAATACTTGCTAAAACATTCACTATTACACCCAACATGGCTGGAATGTACACATTTAAAAATGCTACTGCTAAGGCCGACTGAAACCAAACATTAATACTATCACAACTAACTTCATAAGTATGAAGTTACAAATATTTAAATAAATAAACTGCTTACTGCAACAGCTGCTGCCAAAAGCCACCGGTGAGGCTTCAAATATTCAAATAACTTCTGCCAATCAAATTTGGAACTGTCTACGGAAACATTCGGCCTGCGCTGTATAATCCTGGAATTCTGAACCGCTTTGCATAATACCTGATTATGGCTTAATAAAGCTCGAACAGCTAAACCTAAACTAACACCTGAACAGAGTTTCCAAGGGCTACAAATGAGGAAAAAGTTATTTTTTGCACTTTTCTCAGCATTGACTTTAATATCCGCAAAATTGCGTTTTAAAATCCCAGATGGTTTATTTTTCAGTAAATTAGCAAAAATACCATTGTTTTTTGTAGTTAACAATCTGTAAATAATAATAAAAAAATAGATAAATTTGTTGAAAACTTTATAAAAACATTACATGTAGGTTATAAGCGTTTACCTTTGTCTCATTAACTGACATGAATGCAATTGTATTAAATGCCACATTATGAAAGACTAATATTATTTTGGTTATGTATATCTTTAATAAATGCACATATTAAACGAATAATATTATGATTTTACGTAACTGTAAGAGAATTGAGTTGATTGTAGGAAATTCTACCTTTCCTGTCATGTCAATGTCATGTTCACGAATAAATATAGGGGTGGGCAAAAACTATCGATATATCAAAATATTTTCCCGTGATATATCGACTTTCGATATTTATTTTTGGATATCAAATTCGTATCTTAATCAATATATTTTTTATAGTTCTGCTGTCGCATCACGTATATTCTTAAATGAAAAAAAAATAAAAAATAAATAAATGTATGAATTTATAAATTGCAGTCTATGACCGGCCCCCTAATTGTCTAATTTTAAATCTATTGCAATCGCTTTCAGTTTGAAAGGTGTTGCACAACCATTGCTTGTTTCTGAAGACAGTTGAAAAGAAAGTATTTGTATTATGCAGCAATGGTTGTGCAACACCTTTCAAACTGAAAGCGATTGCAATAGATTTAAAATTAGACAATTAGGGGGCTGCTTGTCTTTTGATTTGTTTCTTTATGACAAAGATGTTGGTTTGGTTGGTATCACTGAGAGTGCTCCTGATGTTAATATCAGGCAAATACTGATTTGTTTGAATAATGTAATTTCTGTTATGTTGATCATGTTGTTTTCTTGCTTTATGTACTTATTTTAAATAACAAAACAGTCAGTTGTTTATTTGCTTTAAAATTTCGAATATTTATAGATAATCAGTTATTACGCAGAAAATATCTATATATTACATATCGATATAGTTTGTCAGTATTTATCGATATATTTGAATTGTATCGATACGATTTATATCGATATTTTTGTCCCATTTGCCCATCCCTAAATAGGGATGTAGGGTGGCTGATATGGATCCAAATATGCGATGTTGGTTCAGAATCGTCTACCGTCAAGTGTCTACGTCCACGTCATACATCCTGGTAATACACGGATCCGTAACAGGCATCGCACATTACCATCAACCCTGGGATACGGGTAGCTGAAGGGAGTGACGCTATCTCTCCAGTGCAGCCCTATACGGAGAGAGATTCCCATTACCTTCTCCCATGATCCTCATTCCTTTAAAATCCTGAACACCTAAAACCTATTTCCCACACTCCTCCCTCATCTTCCATCCCAATCCAAGGTGTCATACGTACCTAGCCGATGGATGCGTGGCCAAGGAGACGCTTGGTCTCAAACGGTGACTCTCTAGTGAGGTGGTAATCATGGATTAGCCTTACCTGGATATGCGGGGCTCTGCTCGGGTGGACTTTTGGTAAAAATCTTTAGGACGAATTACGCTTGGGGATATATACCGGAAAAATGGACAACGGTTAAAGTCTGTTTCATTCCCAAGGCTGGTAAAAAATATTATACCCAACTGAAATCCTTTAGACCAATAAGCCTAACCTCCTTTCTACTGAAAAGTCATTGACATATGCATACCCCTAAAAAATCGTCCTCTGCATGCAAAACAATACGCAAATCAAAAAGGCAAATCCACAGAAACTGCCTTACTTAAGCTTACAGATAGGATCAAAAAGGCTATTGAAGACAAACAGATAGCTCTCTATGCCTTCCTAGACATTGAAGGAGCATTCGACAACGTTACCATTGAAACCTATATCCAAAGGAATGAGGGACAAAAGGATCGACAACACAGCGACCAAATAGATCGAAGCAATGCTCCTAAACAGAACAGTTAACGTTAGCCTGCACGGAATAACAAAAGATTTCAAAACCACAAGAGGCTGTCTTCAAGGTGGCGTCCTATTGCCACTGTTATGGTCCTTAGGTGTTGATCAATTGTTATTACAAGCCTCTGAAAAAGACCTAGATATACAAGACTACGCAGATGATGTGGTAGCTTACGTCATTGGTCCGTGTCAAAGCACTGTATCATCTATAATACAGAGATCTCTGAACATCATCGACAAATGGTGCACAGAGAATAACCCTTTTACCAGGAAGCGAAAGTTGGAAAACCTTAAAATGCTTATCTTAAAAGGGACCGTTATATCGTTACTCCACGCAAGTCCTGGGCTTCATATTCGACCAAAAACTCACGTGGAAGTGCCATATAAGCTTTCTTTCGCTTGTTCTTCTTGTCAGCTAAAAGACGTCCTGAACAAGTGGTAGGGAAAAAAGGTTTTTGGACGATTCAAAAGTGCTTGTAATAGCCTACTTGAATAAAGATATTTTCATTTCATTTCATTTCATTCCAAACAACATAACTCAAAAGGCAAAAACAGCCCTAGGTATATACAGGCGAGTAACTGGGGCAAAATGGGGAATACACCGCCATTGTAAGGTTAACGGTGACATATCGACGCTTAAGAACCAAGACCATCTATCTACAAAAAGTCGATTTTACAGGAGACGAAAAAAACGTTTCATATTTTTTCTACAACAATATTTTTTATTTTTATATCTGATCAATTAATGGATAGGCATAGGAAATAAGGTGTTTGCATGTATTTCAAGAAATCTTCACTAGTTTCAAGATTACTGTAGATAGCTGGTATTAGTTAAAATATTTCGTATGTTTATGCAGCTAACTGTAATATAGATGGTATTGGCAAAGGAAATAATATAGTTCCAGCGCCTGACCACCGCACAATGTATGCTCTTAGTACCTTCTTCAACAAACTGCAATGTCGAGGCTCAGAAAGCCCTTGCAAATTTTATTCACAAGCTCTCCGTCTATATTAGTTAGGCACCTAAGATAAGAATGTACTGTAAAAACTTGTACCAATAACTTAGGAAGTGTTTTAGTTACGCGGTACACACTCACGCCGAGAAGACTCGCCGGACCTTGAAGAGAAATAGTTGCACCGTTTACACTCACGGTGAGTTCTCAATAGATCTCTCTGTTCTCGGATATGGATGACTTTACTAGTAAAGGCGCTTTGGTATACATGCACTAGCATTGTGACTGAAAAATTGAAAAATGAGAAGGAACTCGCTCTGCAGACTAATATTTCGCGCGTTTCAGTGAACAGATTACTGAAATATGATTTTAAGGTAAAGGCCTATAGCCGAAGAAAAATTCAATTTTTAAACGATCGTCTTCGTAAGTTACGACGCGAACGTTGTCCATTGCTGCTGAGGAGACGTGATGCCAGGAACTCTTCACCGATGAGAAAATTTTTACTGGCAAAGAAAAGTTTAACCAACAAAACAAATGGACGCTAAAAGTAGCAAGGATGTCCCAGCTTCTGCACGGAATTGAAATTGAAATTCATTTATTCTAGTACAGACACAAGACACAGTTCATTTAAAAAAAAAATGATAATACACAATACTAGACAATAAAATATAATAAAATATATATGTGTGTGTGTGTGTGTAAGAGCGCGTGCGTGTGCGTGTGTGTGTGTGTGTTTTTTATTTATTAAAATATGCATTAATGAATGAAATTGAGAATTGAAAACATTACATATCTATAATAATTACTAATTAAATTGAAGACCTACAAATAAACCACAATGCAATTCAATTTGATTTAAGGGCACCTATGACCATTGACTAGAATAGTTCACATTCAAATGGAAGAGAAAAAGCCACACCACAACATTCAGCCTGCATCACACAATATCCTACAGATGTTATAAATGCGAAAGTTTATGTATTAACGTTTGAAGGAAACCTATATATGAGAAATATCCATGTTGATATTACCCAGTCCTTGCTGCGCATTCATTAAATATCTACGCGAGTGGTTTTTAAAAGTAAGCAAAGTATCACAATATGCACAAAGGCAGAGGAATGTTGTTCCAAATTTTGGAAGCTGCATATCGGAAACTTCCTCTGAAGGAATCTCTCGCGCACTCCTTCATACGAAATTGGAAATTGAATTGAAAAGGTGACACTCTGCTCCATTTCTGGCAAAAAGATGTCGAGGTGAAAGCCAAGAATTCCCTGTCTGATACGTTATTTCATAATAAGGATTGGGTTTAGCAAGACTCGGCGCCATCCCATAAGGCAAAAAGCACCCAAACTTGGTTGAGGGAGAGTGTGCCGGCCTTCATCTCGGCGGACGAGTGGCATCTCTTAAAGCGGGCAAAAAATCGACAACAAACAGAGAAGATGCGAACCCGAGAACGAGAAGGCGAGAAACTTATCACATTCTCGTGTCTCGGGTGTTGGGACTTCTCGGCGTGAGTCTGTAGGGCCTATGTATGGGGCCTATTATGTTGTAACGCATAACAGTTCATTTTGCAACTCGCAATAAGAACGAATAATTACGTGTTATGTAGATAGGTGGGATTTCCATACAATTATTACGACACGTAACTAAGGTGGTATTGGTATTTTATCATAACTCCTTATATATTGCGAATTTGAAATAATCGATTAAAGGAAACGATGCGTAAATTAACCATGAAAAGAACTGCATTAAAAAGTCAAAATCGCCAAAAGTGTAGATAGATGGTCTTGGTTCTTAAGCGTCGATATACCAGCGTTGTATGGTGGAAGAAAGCCACACAAGCTACCGTAATTAACAAACTAAATTTTGTAGCTTGAGGCATGCTGTCCTTTTCAAAGCTTGCAAAGGACAGCATGCCTCATGGCAACCGGTGCCATGTTTACCATACCAGGAGCCGCTCTTAATACCCTGCTTAACTTACTGCCTCTGCATTTATTTATAAAGAGGCGAAACCTAGCATCTACAGAGTAGGAGTTAAGTACTGGTCAAAAGAACTGGCATTCTTAAGCACTGAGATCTTTTTATCAAACTGTCCTTGAGAACAAAATTCCAGCAATGACCACAGACATCATGACTCCGCTATGTAACTTTTAAAAAAATATTATCTAAAACATCTTCAACAGCTGCTATCTCCAATATGGGCGAGGCAAAAACTGCTTAGGAGATATTATCTAAAGGTGATTTTCCAACGGTAATGGCAGCCAAAAAGCATTGGGACGAGCCGCTCTGTAAATTGGTACGGATCTATTAAATGCGTCTGCCAATTCTGCAGAGCATGCCAGACTCTTCAGACTCTTTTGACTCTTTTGACAGCTGTCGCTGAGTGGGAATCTGGTCTTTGGTTACAAGTCTTGCCGTCACCGACTGCT